CTCGAAGTCGTTTGTTTTGTAAAGCATTAACGAGCAATTAAGCCTCTGTTTTAGCCCTATATTTTGTACACTACTTTCCGCTGATTCATATGGATTTTTTATTCTTGTATTGCGTATTAATAACGTGTGTTTCCGCGTCGGTTTATGTTTTTGACATTTATTTTGAAGGCCAAAATACTTGCTTGCGGTTTAAGCTTAGAGTCATTTTACAGACCTTCATTCGCGAAGCTGCCCTCTTCTGGTCAGACTCAGGTATTACCACACGTGAACAAACAACTAGATTTAAGAAGAAAACTTATTTAACATTTTCTTATATGGATCTCGAATTGTTCAAAACTTTTTCAATACCACGTTTTGATACAATCTCTGTTATTTGGATGAGCAAAATATCAATAAAAGCCAAAGCTTTAATTCCCCTCTCTCTCCCTGATGTCTGACTCTGGCCACTGTCCTGTCTCTACAGGTAAGTCGATAAGAGTCGGAAATCAGGAAGAGAGGGTTCAAGTCCGACCTGTAGAGACAGGACAGTGGACAGAGTTGTAAATCAGGGAGCGAGAGAAAGAGAGAGAGAGGGAGGGGAAAGGCATGTGGAAAAGGGAGCCACAGGTTGGGTCCGGACCCGGGATGCCCACTTTGAGGACTACAGCCTCCTCACATGGGACACACGCATCAACATCTACACTACAGGTCCCACCTTTTTATACACTTTCAGATATTCTGTCAGAAACAGTTTCTTAACTTTGAATTCTGAAAAGAATAAATAATAATCCAAGCACAGACACGATATCATCACCTGTGTGATATCCGTTTATGTTTTTTGTCTTTTGTTTAAGATGTTATGAATCACTGAGCAGGTCTGCGTAACCATGGTTACACTGCAGGGATTTAAGTTTTGATTTTAAACTAATGCAAAGAATAAAAGGTTTCTCGATGATACCAGAGTTCAACCTGCAGGTGTGACCGGCAGAGGGCGCTGCAGACAACAAAACAAACCGCTGACACCAACTGATGAGAAAAACAAACAACAGAGAACATTTCACGTCGTTAACCGCTTTGTATCAGATTCACCTCCCCAGGTAAAGATGCTTATCAACATCACTGATCTGATTTTAAGGGCAATGATCTGAAGGAAAAGGGGTAAAAAAAGTGGATTATCTGTGTTTTTAACCCCGTCACTCGAGGAGGGAGGAGGAGTTTATTACCGTTGCCAGGAGACTCGGGAGGGGGGGGGGGGATCCGTCAAGTTAAACACATTTCAACAGGAAGTAGAATCAGTCGACTCAGTACAAAACAAAAGTAAATGTATTTATTCGAGTTTTACTGTTCATGAATTGGATGATTGTTTTGACTTGGTGAATAATGACGTGCAGCTGGTTGAGGAGTTCATTTCAGATTCTACCTTCACATAGCCGATTACCGGGATGGGGGGGGGGGGGGGTAGTTTTTAATTCTTGCAGGTGGCCTATCAGGGGCGTGTCCAAAGGAGTGGCATGGGTCCTCCTTGAAATCTGATTGGCCACCCCAAAAATCCTAAACTGTGATTGCCTATTAGCCTTTTAGTTTCTATTTTTGTTTGTATTTTAAACTGTAAAGTTGAGCAAGACCCCCCCCCCCCCTCGGAAAAAAAAAATCCCTGCAAGGAGATACTCAAGGACATACATAGTGGGGCATTTTACAACAGCAACAAAAATAATAATAAACCAAAATGAACAAGGAAAGGCCAAACAAAGGGAGGTAAATATGAAGGTTCCTTCACAATGAAGTCAAAGCGGAGTTAAAACACGGAGAGGAGAGTTAGGAGGAGGACGAAAGAGGAAGATGGTCAAAGAGAATAAAATACAAATTATGTAATAAATCATAACATATACAGCACCTTCTTCACTGATGTTTTATCATCTACAGGCTGCGTTATTATCATTGCATGCAGAGATTCTCAGGTGTGACACCACTGCAGTGCTTTGAGTCACGCCTTTATTCTGAAAGTCGTACCGGAAGTGGTGATATTCTCTGCGGTTGGGGGGACTCACCGGGCGGTGTTGCTGTGTTGATTGAACGCTTGTGATCCAAACACCCCGAGAGGGCAGACGGCTTGTGGACGTTGAGCAGGATTATCACCCAGCAGGAGAGCCGCTCCTCCTCCTCCTCCTCTTCCTCCTCCTCCTCCTCCTCCTCTTCCTCCTCCTCCTCTTTGTTTTCTGCTCCGTTCATTCAGAACTCCTCCTGAGCGCTGTCTGCTGTCCCTCCTCCTCTCACAGCCTCCTGATTTCTTCTTCTGTCCGGAGGTCTCGTCTCACCGCAGACACACTCCTCCTCCCTCAGGCCTGCAGGTTCACCGCAACAGGTCGAGGAGGAGCCGAGGAGTCAGGATGATGTGATGAGGACGCAGAGGAGGAGACAGGAGGAGGACAGGTAGCAGCGCGGCACGAGGACCCTGCAGTGTGTGTGTGTGTGTGTGTGACAGAGAGGAGGACTGCCAACATGATGCCGGTGAGTGTGAAAACACACACTCTGACACACGCACACACACTCCGGTTTTATTTTCCATTCACGTTTATTTTTTTTCAGCCCGTGAAACTATCTCCATAGTAACAGGCTCCATCCTCCGTAACCTTAGTAACGCTGTCACGTGTCTTAGTACAGACCTCTTTGTGTGTTTATTTAGATCCTTTAATGACATGTTGATCAATCTGTCTGAAGTTTAAGTTTGTAAAAACACGTTTAAGTACAAACGGAGGGATCACCTCACATCCTGGTTCTGGGTTTTAATTAATAGAGATGCACGATCCACTTTTTTTCAGTTCCGATACCTTTGTACCGATACTGATTCCGATATTTTAAAATAAATAATTTAATTAATTTAACTACGTGTACACAAATGCACGATATCAGTCTTGCGTATCCTGCGGTGGTTTCCGAGCGTTGGTTTTGCACGTCCTCAGAAATCAATGTTCTGGTCTGCGACATGCAGTATGCACATAACCACTAGGGGCAGTGTGGAGTTATATGGTGAGGAGACCTGAAATCACGACGTCGGAGACACGGACATGGGCGGCTGTGGATCAGTTGGTAGCCTGCAGCGACGTGTCCGACGTGTCCGACGTGTCCGACGTGTCATCTTAAAGGTCTCTCTCTCTGCGGGGATCCTTTAGCAACAACTGGAGCCCGTCAGGGACAAAAACAACGACTCTGAGTGGACGCACTGTGATTCAGACATTACAGCCTGTGTAATGCCGATAACTTTTTGTAAGAGGGCGGCTGTGGTTCAGTGGTAGTCGGTCGTCTCTCAACCAGAAGGTCGAGGGTTTGAACCCCAGCTCCTGCAGCTACATGTCCGATGTGTCCTTGGGCAAGAAACTCAACCCCAAGTTGCTCCCACTGCTTCTTCAGCGGTGTATGAATGGATGAGTTAATACTGATGGACTCTTTACTCAGCGGCCTCTACCATCAGTGTGTGAATGGAGACCAGGTTTAAAGTGGATTATGTTGCAGCCATTACAGACTGTTTCCTGGCTGCTGGATGATCCGATGTACTCGAGCAACTCTTCAACTTTTTATACTTTTTAGACATTTGACACTTTAAAACAATGCAAGGTTTGGTCGAAGTTTTAAAATCAATCAGAACCCATTTGTAGGAGCCATAAATGTGAGTTGATTGTGTGTTTGGTGTCATGGGTTGTTCACTGATTTGTTTATTGTTTACGGTCTGCTTGTTCCTGGTGGTGGGTGTGTTCACCGGAAATCTTGTGGTGATGGCAGTGATTATATGAGCCGCACTCACCTGTTCACCTGGTTTTTGGCTTGGATGGAGAGAGGGGGTGAGCGTGGGAAGAGAAAATGTCTGTTGACCGCCACACTACACTATACTGCGATCGCAAGTTGATTTGATGACCCGATAACTGCGGTTGTAGTATCTTGTGTTGTTTTTTGGAAGAATAAATGACTAAAGCGTCTTGGATCTGGAAGTCATTTCTAACAACAGCGCGTCACAGCTTCACTCCCGTGTTTAGTCCCTCGCGGCACTCTTTTTTGGCCGATATAGCCGCAATACCCTTCATCATTTCATCTGTTTTAAAGCCTCCAAAGTGCAGAACGAGATGTGTGCGAGGATGTTTTTGTTTCAGTTACATTGAATCGAACAGGTCGGGGTTGGTTTTGGCACAGTGTAGTTCCTAGAGCAACTCCTCTTTTTTGCATTCTTTGTACGGGATGGAGATAAAGTAACGTTGGTTCAGCTAGTCGATCAAAGGTTTGTGGGTGTAAAACAGAGAGCCCTCTACGATAAGGATGTGAGTCTCCTCTTATTAACACCATGAGATTACTCAAACTTCACCGGGTTATCCAACAATGAGTTTGCTCTTTAAAGAGTCCTGTTCAAACAATCGGAAGGTGTATATTTAAATATAATAGAAGTAATGGGTCATATCTAAGCTCAGAGAGAGGGAACAGCGCAGAGAGCAAATCACAGCCGAGCTCGTCGTCAGTCCAACAAACGTCTCCAGCAGACGTTCAGTAAATCCTCCACTGATTACAGAACCCGTCTCTGAACCATTGCCTCCCCTCAGAGCAGAGCGGCTCTCCTGGTTTAAAAAAAAAGGGAACTGAGACATTTTGGTTCTGGTCCCGGTGGATCACAGCGACTCCCTGGTCCTGGTTTGAGTCTGAGTCCCGTCAGACGTCTCTCTCTGTTACACGGTCTGACCTTCAGAGGAGTCTAGTGATGTGGCTGCAGATTTATTGTCCAAAAGAAAGCTTGTTGTGAAATCCTCGTTTGATTTAAAGTTCAAGTGTTTAAAACTTTTGGAACTGCATCAGATAGAATCAGAAATAGAACATGATGGTATTCATAAGTATGTTTCCTGCAGTGTAGAATCAGAATCACCTGGAGATAAGAAACGCCTTGTTTTAATACCCTAAAACTTTTTTTTTTGGCTCTACCACAGATGCACATCCACAGGATATTTGTGCAAGTTGAAAATTTGCAACTCTGAGCGACAACTCATTGACATGATTCATGTTTCAAATTCTTATCAGCGTTGCGATTCTCTAAACCTGCTGCACGTCCTGAGGGTGCATCAGAAATGGCAGAAACATGACTCAAAAACAAAACAAGCGTCGTGTGTTATTGGCCAAGGGGTTAGCTTGCGATTCTTATCTTGTAACATTTTAAATAGATTCAAATCTTCCAAAAATCGAAATTCAGCCAGTCTCCCAGATGCCTGGAGTAGGTCCTGAAGTATGGACTAATTCAAAAATAGACTTTGAATCCAGATTTGTTTTGAATCATGAGACATCCAAAGATCCCCTGCCCTGCTCTCTGACTTTATCCACCGTCCTGTCTCTCCAATAAAACATGAGCCTGAACATAAAGCCACTGAGGGGCCGCTAGTTCCTATAAAGTGTCAGACCTGAACCCAGAGGGGACAACTGCTGGAGCTATTTGAGAAGGATGTTGAATGTTAAATGATGAAACAGGAAGTAGATGTTGAGGAGAGGAAGTTGCTTTGGGGAACCTGAGGAAATAAACTTCTCTTCACACCATTTACAAACTTATCATTCAGACAGCAGCGTGTAAAGGAGGGGGAAGGTCGTGCAGGTCTTTGTGTGTGTGTGTGTGTGTGTGTGTGTGTGTGTGTGTGTGTGTCGTCCTCCTCCTCCTCGGGCAGTAAATCCATCCCTAAATGTTTCACACATTCTTCCTTGAAAAACGCTTCACACCCCGATCATCGCTCTGCGTTCTCTTCATCCTGCAGGCAGAGCTCGGAGCTCGCCGTGCTGCTTGGTAACTGTTGCCACAGCGACCACACACACACACACACAGACACACACACACACAGACACACACACACAGACACACGCACGGTGTTCAAGGTCGTATGGGAGCAGTATTATTTTAGTATTCCTCGGATGATGAGGAACTAAAGCAGAGGAAGTTGTAACCTTCATTTACAGTCGGGCGCTTTGTTCCATTGTCTTTAGAACAGGAAGTTCCTCTCGATGACGGGGTGAGAAAGTCACGACGAGCAATCATGTTTGGAACCCAATAAGTACAGTTAGCAACACGTGTGACTTTCACGCCTCAAAGTAGTCGTTTCAAAGTCGATCTAATAGGACAGTAAGTCTCTCACACGTCCACTGATCGCCTGCTTTCAGCTCTATGTTAGCTTGACAGCGGGCTGCGTGCAGCTTTACGGCACTAGCCAGTTAGCTCGTCTCTGTTCTGTTTGATACGATGACTGAGGCTAAGAAGAGAGAAAGAGAGAGAGTGTTCATCCCTGCAGATATTATTCAGAACAGACTGAGACGTAGCGTTAGCCTGTGTCGTTAGCGGTGTCATTGTTAATCTCGTGTTAAGCAGCTTTACCGCGTGCAGACATTTTTTCATGGTTACGTTTTGGTCTTTTTGTGACTTTAATTTGGAGATAGGACAGAGTCGTATAGAGTAGTGTTGTAGTCAAGACCTCACTCACCGAGACCCGAGACCAGAATGCTCCAAGACCAAGACCATAAATATCTCTGAAAAATCATCATCTTGCGTTTAGGGGGCGTGTCCCTCACTTAGACCGTAACACCGGGAAGGTAGCAGTCGTAACCGGTGGATAAAAATCAAAATATGAATGAATTGAAGTTATTTGTTCTTTTCCTTCTAATCTCAGTAATGACTTGGTAAAACAGCCAATCAGTGGCTTGACCGGTCTTGATTTATAATCTGAAGTCCGCCCAGTCTGAGACAGAGACTAGACCGAGTCAAAATGCTTTAAATTCCGAGACTGAGACCTTCAAAAAGGGAACAGTCTTGAGACCAAGACCGATTTCAATACTACAACACAAAGATAGAGTCAGAAGTCAGGATGAGAGAGAGAGAGGGGGGGAATGGCATGCGGGAAAGAAGCCACAGGGCGCCCCCGCTTGGAGGAAACCAGCACTGAAAAGAAATGACCTTCCATAAAGTCTGTTGTTATTTTGTATTAGAAACTAAATCAAACTACCAGCCTGAAGCTCTCGTCGTGTTCTGGATCATGCTGACGTTAAGCGCGTTCAGGTACTCATGATGTTTACGATGTTCCAGCTGGAAGTTTTTATTTCATCGTGACTGAGGAGTCAACGAGGCCGCAGTGACTGTTCATATTGACTGTGGGCTAATTGATTTCCGATGACCTCGTTTGAGAGCCTTTTCCAGTTAGTGTACAATCTACAGCGACACACACACACACACACACACACACACACACACACACACGTACGGCGTCGGAAAAACAAAAAGAACGGGCTGATTATGACGAGGAAAATATGAGTGAGTGATCCTAATAATGAACAGCAGGCAGCCAATCAGAGAGCAGCCTGCGCTCCAGAGCTCAGTGTCAACAATAGTTCAGTGAAGCTTCCTGTGTTTTTGTTGTTGTCTAACGTGGCATCCTGAACAGCAGGCAGTGTGTGTGTGTGTGTGTGTGTGTGTGTGTGTGTGTGTGTGTGTGTGTGTGTGTGTGTGTGTGTGTGTGTGTG